GAGCCTTCAAGAATGAGGGAAAATGTTCATTTTGGTTATTGCATACAGCTCTTTGTGAACAGATTGAGATGCAGTTAGATTATAGTCGACAAAATAGAAGAGCCAGAGAAAGAGTCAAACAAGTCAAATTATACCACTTAAAACTTCCGAAGAATACGATATTTGAATGGTATAATTTTTTGGCCAGTACTTTTCCTAATGATATTGAGTTTTACGTATTTTTCCTTACCAATATGAAGGTCGTACTCTTCATACTAATTCCATATCTTTGACCGTGTCATTCATTCAATATCAAATAATTATCTATGGAATTGAGTTTTCTCATCCTGCTGAATAGTTCTGTTGAACTACCTCCAATCTAACTCCGTTTCTAGATTTCCCGACGGCTTTCTGGAGGGAGTTTGTGAAGCTAACCATCTTATTCATGTACACGTGTATGGCGTATTTATGTATTGCATTGAATAAGGAATTTCACTGCATCAGGTTTCAGCTATGAAGTAACTACATTATGATATTGGTACTTGATGTTCTAAAATCTTGTCTTTTAAGATATACACCGTCAGCGCTCTCTCCTTTGAAGTCTTCAGATAAATTCGATGTCATAAAGAGTGTAGATATCTGCATAGAGATGAATGCTTTGAAGGTATATCATTTAAGACCTAAAACCTATAGTTTCCACTGTCTTACAGACATTTTAAAGAAGCTTGAGACTTTATACCTGGCTTAGACTAGTTGTTATGACCTTTATATCATATCTTAGTATCAATATCGTGAGGTTTCTGCAACTAACACTCTACTGTAGGTCGTACAAAACGTTGAGATAGGTGGGTCTCATCATTACTTACTCATTATCAATGTCTTTAGTTTGGAATATTGTCAACGTGTTTACTTTCTCAGTGTGGCACTTTTGGCATGATGCCAACATTACTCAGTCTAATTCCACCCTATATGAGTGATAGCATGATGGGGCCTGTGAACGGATATCTATCGATGCCATTTTTCGTATTCACATATTCTGTACGGCATTAATAAGGTGAAACACAGTCATGTACTAACTTTTAGGCAGGTGATAAAAATCTGTGAACATCTTGATCCAACTCTATACGTATTGCTAAACTAGGTATCAACAAAGACTGATCATAAGGCACTATTTTATAATAAGCTGGTACAAAACCTATCCTGAACACTGATACAGCTGAAGTTATGGATAAATTTCGCTTAGCCATAGTTTTTCTAACTGAAAAGTACTCACTAACACTATGTTACTGCTAAGAGGCCATGTCAGTGAAAGACGTCATTACACTATCTGTTGATCCGTAAAGCCAAATGCTACTTCTGTTTGTAAGCGTATACCAGTTACATGTTGATATATTTGCTTGTCTGCTAGGTTTATCGTCAATATTTCACTCGTGCACTGACTGACTTAGTGGTATTCGAAGGGTGACGGAAGGGTATCCATGCCATTACTGAAATTCGTTTGCTTATGGTTTCACACACAAGTTGTAAGGGTATATCACTAACCCACGTTTCGTCAAAAGAGTCTCTTTATGAAGTCTAAAAATTTTACGTGATGTTAGGCATGACTGATGTTTAGTTTGTTACCCTCACTTCTGTCACTCACGTCATTGCAGACCCTTTTCCGATTTTTCACGGCAGTCGCTTTCACTTCTTTATTGTACTGAAAATAAGTCACTGTTAGTCTGTCAAAATGATCTATCAGAAAGAAGGTACTAAGATCTTCCTACGTTGAATAACCTTTATATGCAGTTTTCTGACTGTATTAGTTGTTATTTCTACGAAAAACGTTCAGCGAACTAAGGTTAAATCAGGATCGTATGTAACAGGGAAAATTCCCAACAAAATTGATATACTTCTTCAATGAATGCCCAGTTCAAACATCCCTATCAAACCTGATCTCATAGTTGTATTCCAGTTGTTGTTGTCGTCATTTATGGGTTATCTTCAGGCAAAAACAGACGTTTTTAAGCAAACTCATATTAATTTGCAAAAGAACGATGTGGTTTTAACACCTGTTGTGTGCTATATGAAGAAAGTTTTAAACTGTTTAGTGCCGTAGTATTCTATTATTCTTCAAAGTTATGCTTGATAGTTTAAAATTAAATGAGTAATTCTAAAACGGTTTGTTGAAAATACGTAGTTTTGTGATAGAAAGTTGCACATATCTTATGGAAAATAGACTTAATGTTATCTCTGACCTTAAGCCAGAGAAATCGAATTTCTAAACTTTTAAATAAGCTGATAATAGCAAAGTACGCCGATGCGAAAGATTTAAAAATTCATAGAACGAAAATAAAGTTTCGCATCCTTTTAATAAACAGATATGAACTTTAGATGATGCTAAGAGTCATGTGCCGTTTCACTTTTTGTATGAAACCATGTGACTACATATCTACAAAGTGTACTAAATATTCATATATATATATATATATATATATATATATATATATATATATATATATATATATTCCAAATATTCACTAGGATGACACTATCATTATGTCCTTTTCTCGGATTGGCATCATCCTTTTAAGCGGAAAACGAATATAATCCAAAATATTATAATCCCATTGTGAGTTGTCATAAACTTGTTTTTGTATCACAATCATAGCTTAATTATCATCTACCTTTTTCTTCTCTTCAAATTTGAAGAGGTTTAAATAGGCTTTTGTAAGAGTTATTGTGATCTATTTTTTATGTCAAGCAATTTTATCACAATCCTGTGGTGAAAGTTAGTAGGTGGAATTCATTATGAATATAATAATTTTTAGATAATTTACTCTAAGAATGGAAGTCGTAATCAAAAAACTGTGTGGTTAAAAATTAGAAGTAACTTTTAGCTTTATGCCATGTTAATAACTGCTGAGGTAATATGGCACAATATGGATTACTGTTGTACAGCCGTATGCACTCGTTATCTACATTGAAATTTTGAACAGAATAACATTAATTCGTGTGTTCTGTTGCTCTTCTCTGTTTTGCTCTTATTATCATTATCTTCTGTATTCCAAAATTGGTTTTTTGCATCTATGTTTGTTGTCGTGGAATGCAGTAAAGTGAACGAGTACACTTCTATACAAGGTTTAACGATGTTATAAGTTTCTAATCTTCATGACTTCACTCAGTGATAGGACTTTACAAATAGACGTAGGATAAAACCTATTAAGTTACATATGCGTGAAACAATACAATTTAAAAGTAAGTTAACACCATACAGTTCGGAACTGAATAGCCTAGTTAACTATTTCAGTAGTTACTATCCGGTCCTAAGCCCGGGTAAAGAGGGAAGGTTGAGCATATGGCTAGCAACCCTACCCCGTAAAATCAATACAATCGCTGAAGAAACTTCTGAGCACGAAGAAAATATAAAAAATAAAAACAAACTTATTCCTCGCCGGAATCGGAGAGGCGAAATGATACCGGTTGGTGAAAGCCTTCGGGAAGCCAATTGGCCGATGTGTCTTCTCTCAATGAAAGTGAAAGTAAGGATGAGGACATGGAATGTCTGCACCATGTATGAGCCTACCAAAGCTGCCCAGATTACATTCCAACAAACTACAGACAATCATCAACAGCTGCCGTCTACGCCCACTCGATACTGAAGATCAGATCAGAAGGTCAGAAAGAATAAGCAACAAGAAACTCTGGCCTGTCAACGAACCAACCAACAACCTATCTCTCAACAGATATGCTGAAGGAAGTGGAGATGGATTGGGCATACATTTAGGAGGCCAACTGGGGACATTACGCGCCAGGCCGTCGAGTGAAATTCAAAGGGGAAACGACGAGTCGGGCATCTGAGTCAAGGGTGACATGAAGGAGATCATGTGAGGAAGAAATGAGAGCTTGTAGGCAGTGTTGGCGCCAGGTTCAAAAGACTGTAGAGAAGAGAATACAATATAGACGTGCTACATAAGCCCTATATTCCACTAGGAACCCAGAGGAAAAATAATAATGATAATAATAACAAAGGAACTTCATGAAACCAATTGCAGGTATTCCTTTTGACTCCTTTTCCAAACTACTAACAAATCAGAATAAGCCAAAGTTGAAAAAGTAAGTTTAGCATGGTATCTGGTGACTATCAGGAGCAAAAGGCTGCGTATTTATAGGTTTCAAAATAATGATTTTGCAAATAGAACCTTAAAAGTATGAGTTAATGAAGATACATTCTGTTTAAAGTTTGAGATTTTCAAACTAGTTTGAACGAAGAGTAACAAATTTATTGTAGTTCCAAGTAAGATGGATATTTCCCGCATAAATTAAAAGCCTAAGTTAGTATGATAAACATGTGATTGAAAATAACCGTCTTGAGAGTTCATACAATACTAGCATAATTCTAACCGATTTGAACTTACTCAGGTAAATATTCTACTCCTTAAAGCAGTTTCGCCTCTATTTCGATCGTTAAGAAATCTCTGGCATACTTGCTGGGCATTCAATAATTATTGGTAGTCCATACCTTTTCACCAGCCTAGATTATCCTTCTGACCATGTCGTAATCTGTTTTGTGTAATCACCTGTCTCATTCTAAAGAACGTCACTTACGTTTATTCACCTAATCAATTTCTCCTGCAAACGTCTCATCGTTCACAACAAATGAGGTTAAAGAAGTTTGTTTCTACGTTCTTGAAATTGTGCACTAGGCGTTTATTCTAAGCCTCTTAGTGTCCTTCTTGTCTGCGCAGAATAGAATTGGAAGGTATACTGGTTAATGGTCTGCAGTGATAGATAACCAATATTTGTCGTTTAAACAACAGGTTAGTTCCTCAGTCTTTTTGAGATCGCTTCAAGTTTAGTGATCAACACTCATTAGCATATACACAAAAGGTTAAAGCTGAGCTGAAGAGAGTTGAAATACCAACTCATTTACTAAATTAGGATCAATAGTTTCACTAGTCACGTCGAAATGATAAAACTAAGGTAGTTGATTGTCATGGTATTTTTGTTATACTTTTTTTCTCTCTTTTTCTTCTGATTAGTTTCTGATTAAAGAATTAACAAATCTCCGTGAGTTGAGTCAACGTAAAATGGCATTTGTTGATGAAGCTGATCGGTATAATCAAGAGTTGGATAATAGTAATCGTCAGCTGATGCGTAAAATATCCGAAGATCAACAAAAGATTCTACGGTAAATAATAAAAAATTTGTTTCACTTCCTTCTCATCCCTTGGTGCAAATTTTATACCAGAAGTTATAAATATGAATGTTTTACAAACAGTGATAGCCAAAGCTGCAACGTTTCCATACTGGCTAAAGGTTGCATCGATCATATGTTCATATGCTTCAATTTTGTAAATCAGTAAACATGTTCATTTGTTTGAAGTAAATACTTTCAAATTTAACCCGATATGTCACCATTTATCACCATTCTCATGATCCTTATTATGCAGAGTGGCTGTTATAAGTATATCCACTGGTTTACTTATCTGAATGGTGGTAGTCACTGAAGCAATTAACTATTTGTTATAGTACATACAGATATTTCATGTTACTTCACTTTGAAATGTGTGACTGTTAATTACAAGTGACATTCAATAGCTTAATCGATTCGATTATTCATATCTTCGGAGATCACTTATTGTCAAGTCAATAAGTGAAAGACAAAAAATAAGTCATTCGATAACGGTATAAATCTGTTTCTGTTAAGATGTTTGAGCGTTTTGTTATGCAGAAACACAGTCAACGCCTTCTGCCATTTGAGTTGTTGCCTGGACTTCATACGGAGGCAGAAGGATTAATTAAGACATATGATGGTCACTTGAGAAAAAAATAGTTGTCTAAATTAGCAGTGTTGGGGTGTGCAAATCTCCTGATTGAGACCGCCCTAGTATTTGCCACTGAACACTTTAACTGTGAACCAAATATATGTATTCACCAATGCACGTGCACTTCCTGCACTCTGATTATGATTAGATAGTAAATTTTAGCATTGTAGTTGCTTATTTGTCTTTCCTAAATCCTCCAACTTTCTTTGTAACTTGTCTTCTTTTCTCTGTGTCACTTCTAAATATAGCCATTAGAATCGATACGTTTTTTATGTTGAATGATTCTAGCAGAAAACAAGATACACGACATTTTTACTTGGTACCACTTTTTAATGATGTGCGATTCCCTCAATATCATACCATTAGCTTCATTCTGAATTGCTTTTTTTCCACTTGAATCAAAGTTGTACAATTCATCTCATTTAAAACTTAACAACTGAATGTATATCCAGTTTACTTAAATATGGAGTTCATCCTGAGACTCGAGACTATAATCCATTGCTTCAAACAATAAAAACATTCATTTTGGTTGAATAAACAAAATAATGTAAAACTTCAAATCCGAACTTAAAACTCATACCACTTGTACCTGACGTTAGTTTAACCACTCAGAGAGTTTAATGAGAGAACTCTGTCGGGTATACAGGTCCTGTGACAACATCATTATTCACTAAAATAGTGCAATATTCAACTCACAAGCCAAAAATTATCATCGGACTAGGTGCTACACTCCACACACATATATACACAACCAAACCTTCCACAACAATTTCGAAACTCAACACTACAACGTTTCTAAAGTTTTACGCCCTTATTCTTACTCTAAGTATTCATCGAATATTGATCAGTCATTGAAGTATGATAAATGACAAGTACATTAGGTTATCAAACGGTAAACCTCATGTTTCGACCAGCTGTGGTGTAGTCAATAGGGTGACATACTCAGTAAGAAAGATTTTACGACTAGTTACCTCCAAACATTTTTACTGACTCCTTGCAGAGTCACTGAAACAGTCACGATATTTTTATTGACTAAATTATAAGCTGAAAAAATACTGAAACCTTGAAAGTGCTGAATGGTCACTTCTATAAATTCAAGTCTTCTGAGTACCCCTACTTACCTCCGCCGACGAACACAGCTAATAGAAATGTAGGTTCTGTCGCTAAGTATACTGCGGTATTTGGTAGACTTTTTGAGATTCCGATTTTTCGGTCTAATCACATTCCAGGTGATTTGTGATGCTCAAGTGGTGTTCATTGTGCATTAGCATCAACTGAAGAGCTATTGGGAACCTTATGGGATCGATCATCCGTTTTTTCAAAACCAACTTCGTATTAGGCCGAAACCGCTTTACAATGCTCTAAATTTTCACTGGTTCTTCAGGTGATATCAGTCGTTGATGAATACTAACCTGAAGTCAATTAATTCTCCGCAAGAAAATCAAACTAATTTATTATATTCATGAAAAATTTGTGCATTATGGAAAAATCAATTATTTGTTCCAAATAATTCCAATAATTGATGTGAGCAGGGTAAGAGTTCTCCTTTCAGTATTACCAAAATAAATAACATCTTTGCCTGTGGATATTCATTGCAAATATAGTTATAGTAAGGTAGCATTTACCAGGGGCTGACATCAGTTGGATGATAGTTGTGCTATAACGTGAATTGAAAGAATCGGGATACTGTGAACTATTGAATTCCGACCCAATGGCTGAATGGTTAACGCGTTCGCCGTAAATCCTGAAGACAGTGATTTCTATCCGTAGCGTGGTAAGGTAGTAGGTTCGTACTACTGAGGAGACCCATACTAAGACGAAACAGGTGTCCATCACTTCCAGGTTGTCAATGATTCTTCAACCGATGTCAGTCGGTGATAAACACTACCCTTAAATTAAAATCCCCATTGACCTCAAACTATATTTATAACGGTTTGATTTAAGATACACTTATTTATTTATACTACCAACTATGGGAGATTAACTATATTCTACTGCTTAGGATGAAATTCCAGTCATCATATTAAACCAGCCGACTGTGTAGTCTTTTCGATTCCCTTTCTCTCTTATCTATTTTTTGTATATGATTAATTTAATTGTTTTTATTACAATTCAATAATTTACTCTATTTCATTGCATATGATAGACGATTGATTATTATTTATTTGTCCTTATTTATTGTGTACTTTTCAAATTTTTCATTGATTGTTCAAATTTCTAACTATACACCACTTTACTGCAACGGTTATTATGTAATATGTGGTCTGAAAACGAGGTTAGGCGATTAACTTGAAAAATTAACAACAGTAGTAGTATACATATGAATATCAGAATTTCTATTACATTCAATCAATAATAACTGAATATTTTGAAAAGTGAAAGTAGTTTACGATATCAAGTTATTTATAATAGGACCTGAGGCTACCATATTAGCTTTAGAACCAGTTATCTCAGATTTAAAGTCATAATTACAAATAATACTTGCTGAAGGAGAGGGGATTATCGTCTGATTGATTAAATAACAGGCTGGTTCTCTGTTGTTTAAAGGACTGAGTTTTATATGCTTTTGGAGGTGTATGTCTTACCTTAAGGGATCGATCTTTTTGTGAGAAAATCCTAGATCTAGAGTATGCACATGACATAGTATTATTAAACAAAAACGTTCACAAGATTGAGAGCCTTTTGAACAGATTGAGTGGCAATTTGAGAGTGTTTAGGATGCATTTCCCACCACCGAAATACAAATTGATGCTTCAGAACTGATTTATGTATAGTGGCACCTACTTAGATGAATGTAAATAAGTAGTTTGTATAGCAATGTTGAAAGTGATAATTGACTGATGAAGATTCAGGCGAAAGGAATATAGACTTTTTGATAAAAATACAAAGGGTATGAACAATGTGGATTAAGATGTAGAAAGGGAGTTTTCGTAAATGATTATTTTCTAATTAAACAACATCTCATTCATTAGACTTCTCTTCATATGTTGATAGCTCACTTGACAATAGAGGGTGAAGTCACTGAGTGCATTAACCGACTTACTTATTCAGAAAGCTGGATAAACTCTGATGGGTTCATTATCAAACAAATCTCTGCACTAGTAAAGGAGACCTGATTAGCTTTTAGAAACTTACTCTATGTATCGTACTTTAGTGATATCCAATCGCTTATTAAGGGTGAGGTGTATGACAAAGAAGCTCGCTCTGTCCTACTGTATTGGTGTGGAACATGAACATCAGATGCGGTAAACATTGGAATACTTAAGATGTTCAATCACTGTTGCCAAATGATTGAAAATGCTCCTAGCTCAAATCGATCATCTTAGTGTTGCTGCTTTTACTGAGTTAGATCACGAAGCTTTCGTTGTCAATAAACAATGGGGGAGAATAAAATATTTAATAACAGATCATGCTTGGCCAACAGGAGTGAACTGTGGAGATTGGTGTAGCGCCGTACTTACAAGCACTGGGTCCTTGGTTCTTACTTCGCTGACTTTATTATGGCTTTAACCGTTAGTTACTATCTAGGACAATAAGTATGGCACACAGACTATCACATAAATCTCTACCTGATTCAATTGCATTATTTTTCTTATGTAGACTATGTTTTTTTTCCTTGGGTTTCTAGTGGAACATAAGGCTTCAGTAGCACGTCTCTGTTTCACTCTGTTCTCTGCAGTCTTTTGAACCTCGCTCCACGACTACCCAGGAGCTTTCATTTCTTCCTCACACGACCTCCTTATGTCACCCTTGACTCAGACGCACAACTCTTCGCTTCCCATCTGGGTTCCACTCGATGGCTTGGTCAGTCGTGTGATATCCCCAGTGTATGCCCAATCCATCTCCACTTCCTTCTGCATATCTGTTGAGCGATAGGTTGTTGGTTGGTTCGTTGACAGGCCAGAGTTCCTTGTTGCTCATTCTTTCTGGCCATCTGATCTGATCTGATCCGATCTTCAGTATCAAGTGAGCTAAGGTGGCAGCTGTTGATAAATGTCCGCAGTTTATTGGAAGTCATTTTCGTAACGTGCCAAGTCTTTGAACCATGTAGCAGCACTGACTTGACATTGGTGTTGAAAATCCGTATCTTTTTGCTTATGCTGAGTGCAGAAGATCTCCATACTGGTTTTAGGTTAATAAAATCCTGTCTTGCTTTTCTGATCCTGTTTTTGACGTCGTCGTCTGTGCCACTTGTAGTTGAAGCGATACTGTCTAGGTAGGTAGGCGAAAGGTACGACTTACTTTAAGTTTCTCCCACTTATGGTGATTGGTGTTTGTTGTTGTTGGTTGGATATCTTCATCACCCCTGTCTTCTCTACGTTCACCTGAAGACCCGTCCTCCTTCGCTGCCTTTTCTGTCAACTTGTTAGTTCTTGCTTGTAGATCTTCGAGTTTGTGTGACATTAGACACGAATCTTCTAGGCTGTTATCATCAGTCCTGCGTATGCCCATCTTTTCACTCCTCACAGTTTGTTCCATAATCCCATCCAATCGACCACAATCAGGAAGATGATCGGTGATAGTAGGTGGCAGCCTTGTTTTACTCCTGTCTTCACTTCGAACACGTCTGTAGTATTTGTTTATTAGCCAGATGCATAACACTCTGTAGTTTGAACTGATAATTTACTCATATTCTCGACCAAAATAAGTGGAACTTGCGTTTGATCTCTGAAAGTTTATTTTCAGATCTAAAATGTACATTAGAAAATCTGAGCAGATAACTTCTACTTTGAAGGAGTTTCCTATGCTTAATTGGTAGTGTTTAAAATAGGTTAGCGGATATCTTAAGGTAACGTAGTATCCGATCAACAACTTACCTATATTCAGAATATATTTCTAAGTTGGTCCTAATATAATAACAAACAGGAGCGAATAATTGTGCATTTTGTATTAAGACTTTTTGGGACATCGAAATTCACTCACGTCAGATTATTAGTCTTTTAAAGTATAATACTTCTGGTATCCATTGATCGATGCAAGTGATGAATTAATAGTCAAACTCTAAGGATTGAATAGTCTAAATCTCTTCATAAGGTGGCCACTTAAGGGAGATATAATCCAAACAAAACTCTAGACCTAAATGGTAACTGAAGAAAGATATTTGGATTTTTGAAGAACAGTTAGTAGTAAGCATAAATGGTCTTAATGCCTTCAACTCTAATCTGTGGTAACTAAAGAGTGTCAAAATCTTTTCAATAATGACTACTCCACATCTATGGATTTCTTTCTTCACTTAAATAACTTCCTTCTTTACGTGCCTTAAGTTAAAAAAATATGCTGATGCAGCGCTTTTCTTATTTTTTACTTATGTTGTTGAACACAGATAAAAAATAACAACCAACTAATCTAGAGAGTTTAGTAATTTTGTCTTATAAAACAAAGAGCTTCATATGTGCTTTGTCATTTACTCACACTCTATACTACCACATTTCGTAACTTGCTTTACTCCCTCTTCATATTAGTTCCTCTGACTTTTGATCATACTTATTTCTGTCTCTCTATTTTTTATCTTGGCACACTATGTCTTGATGTACTGACATGAAACAGTTGAGCAATAGTGTCAGGTTCAATGTTGACATAGACTGACTTACATTCCATTTCTTTTTTGAAATTGTGAAGTCGTTCACCTTATCAATAACTTTGGTACGCTAAATTTCATAAAACTTATCCTTAGTTGTGAGTTCAGCATATATGTGCTGCGTATAATGAGGAATGTTCAATATCTAAAAAGTATAGCTACCGTTGAATTTGTCCCTTACTCAACCATAAGTAAATATATCTTGTCAAAGTCTTCAACACCAATTCGTACAATGTTTTTTATAAAAATAATGGGGGACAACTTATAATTCAAAGTTCACACTCTACGGATTTTATGGTGATATGTGTATATGCCAAAGAATTTGCATGCACAGCAAGATAAATACTACTTAGTACTTACTTTATATAGATTGCTATTACACAACACCTCAGTTAACAAATAGTTTATCTATGTTAAATGAGATAAGTTCCTGATTAGAGCTGTTGGCAAATAGTGATGATTATTGATTAACAGTAGAATCCAGGACGCTTGTTCTACTCTTTCTGTCACTTGTTAGTTGAATCTGTCTTCCCCCGTGTGAGTGATGCTGTTGGCACTGAGACTCGAACCCAGTACCCATCGCTCCAAACCCCAAAACGTTATCCACTGGGTCACAGACTTCTATGAATGGTTTCTTGATTACTATATAGATATCTTAACTGCCTACTATTCATTTTGTTATATTGAACTGATTTTTTTCAACTCACTTGTAAACACCTTGTTACAGTTACCTAGATATATTGTCATTGGTTTCATTTTGGCGTTGTTCATTTTCCTTGATGCCATTTCCTTTTCAAATTAGTTTATCAAATACAATCGCATCATTAGAAGACCAAGTGGCAGGGTTAGTGGAACGACTTAAGAAATGTGACAGTCAATCAATGAATGGAGAAAAGGAATCACCTCATTCTCCCCACCACCGTCGATTTGTTCGAAATTCTCCGTTGTCAACATCAACATCATCAGCAGCAGTGTCACCAAGGAAAATTAGTGGTACTGTTAACGCTAATACTAAGGATACTCTTAGCAGAAACAGTAATACATTTGCCATTAGAAACTGGAGTAAATCACCTTATCTAAATAAAGATAGAGGTTATTTCCGATACAGAAGCAAAACGAAGCATATTTATGCTATGAACAGAAAATATTCAAGTCAGCGCAATACATCAACAAGAGGATGTCGGGAGAAAGGTGGTCTCTTTTTTATTGATGATGAACTATTTGACCAACCAGAAATTGGTATAGGCCTACATCATGATCATCACCGTCCACAATCGTCGATGTTAATAAAAATGAAACCAGACAAATGCTATTCACAACTTTTCAGGGATGTCAGTATCCTGCCCCATTGGATGGTACAAAATGAACGACAGTATTCAAGGACTCAGAATGATTATGATGATAACGATGATGATGATGATGATTGTGGGGATTACAGTCTAGGTACATCTAGAATGCAACTTTATCGTACATTTAGCTGGCCACGTATGAATAGTGAAGTATCTTATGACAGATTTGAAGAACCAATGGATTTATGCTATCCGCAGTCAAATGATGAAAATTCTTTTCAGTACAGCCTAAATGAAGATAATGTTGGCAGTTTGCAAAAAGAGAATTTGGAAAACAGAGGTAAGTGATAACTAGTTTTTTCTTGTTTACCTTAGAGCTTTTCTTTCCAATCTAGTTCGGTTTTTTTGAATCTAGATCTGATTTTTAAGAAACCCAGGTCAATTTCGGTTCATAATATTTTTATCAATACACTTCTGTTTGATTTCTTCTAAATGTGATAGTATATGATTTTAAACACTTAACAATTCCGATTTCAAATACTGAAAGTTAAATATGAACAGCAAATATTCTTATCAGTAACTCCTTCTCAGGTTCCACATTTATAAAATTTAATTTTTTTTAGCATCATAATAACTAATTTTTGTAAAAAAAAAGCATTTTAAGATGCATACAAAACTAAGATTAGACTGATTCAAGTTGTTGAATGATAGTGTGACTTATATTTACATGTCAGCCATGGTGGTAACTTTTGAACCTAACAGGAAAATATTGAAAAGAACATTCTTCATTAATATTAGACTTTTAGTAAATACAATATGATAATAGACGTGTTTTCAAGTTTATCAACATTTGCTAAGATTTAAAGAATATGTGTTGCTTCCCACTTGCATCTTCACTTTTCTAGACAATGATAATTGGCGAAGTAATTTATCTAGATGATTTGGGTTGATGGGGATCAGAATAACGCAAATGTATCCACGTTTTATCTTCGTCTTAACTGTGAAAATGTTAACATCATGGAACTTCTCTCTGTTTAATTTTTGTTTTGTTTTTCACTTTTTTGTGACAGCCGTTATTATTATTTCTGCTATCTGTTGCTTTTTACTCTCTGTTCAGATTTCAACCGATTACCAATTGCGCCACGTTTTATGCTATAGATACAAACTGTGAGCCGCAAGATATCTGAAATATCTATTAAAGCACGAGTATGTTGCACTGCAGTCCATTCCTTTCTGTCGTAAGGCTTTCAGACATAACCATTAAAAGTAAGAGATATGAAGCGATTACATGGTTTTGATCACAGATGTCTTCGTTACACTGTTCACGTCTAGTGAAACCACTGTATATGCTGTGTTGAGGTCAGATAAAGAGTTTTGGGCAAGACAGGTAAGCCGACTGATGAGGTTGTGAACCTTTATAGACTGAGATGGCTTGGTCATGTACTGTGCATACCAAGCCACCACCTACGTGGATGTGCCATGCTAGAGAAAGCTGGGTTAGGTTGGAAGAAGGTTCAGGGTAGTCAGACGAATACGTCGCACCAGTCGATGAAGTGTCTGAATGTTGGTCTAAGTCGTGTGCGGAGATGTGGACTGCCTAGTTGGGTTCCCCGAGACGAAAGGGGTCACTGGTCGAGGACTCTTGGTGACATGGCTGAAAATCGGTCACAATGGCCCAAATGTAATAACCATAGTGTGACATATAAAGCTTGAATATTCGCACTAGCCGTTACCCTTAGATTGTTTATTTTGTCACACGATTTTGTTTACTTTGATATCCTTCTTTTTCTACTCACTTGTATTTTTGTGTGTACTACTGTGAAGTGTAACAAGTTGATCCTATGCACTTGTATGCGAGGCTCTCCGTGGGTTTTGTATGTCTGTGTGTCTTCCTGCTTCTCCGTCTGTCTATCTACTACATACTGTTATAGATACAGTGTCACACTCAGCGTATTTTATTTTCGCAGTCAAATTATTATCAGTAGCCTTGTCTCAACTAGCCTTTTATGTATATCTAGGTTGAGTGCTTATCACATGCAAATACTACTATGTAAGAAGCCGTTCAAAAGTATTTTTTCTTATTTCTTCTTAATAGACTACCACTATCACACTTTTGTAATTCTCGAAAGAGTATTGCTATCTCCGTTTATCGTCGTTTTCCATGAAGTTCTTGGTAGTTTTGCAGTATCAGTCGCTTCTTTTTGGACCAAATAATAGCTATAAACTCTTATCTCCATTTGTCAGACAAGCTCGTTAAAATAATAAGTAATTAAAAAGATATTTATTACAGACTGTCAATAGAAGCTCAGCAACTTCACTCATAGTCGAATACTAGGTGACATTAAATCCCTGTCGTTAGGTGGAATGAGGCCGCAGTGTATGCCATATTTTTATGCCATATTTTATGATGTAGCGAACAGGTTAAAGACTTATACCAGCAATTATTGTTGCTTGGAGATAAAAGAAAAGGGAATGACATTCGTTTCTCGGTGTATATTTATGATGTAGTGAGTGAACGAATAAACGTCGGATTTCCGCACCTTGTATAGGACCATATACCCTTTATTCACTCACCTACAGACAGAAAAAATCAATACTTGTAAATCTGACATGATAAAGTTCATAAATGATTACAGTGAAGCAGATATATTCGTATTTAACTTTTACGGTAGTGTGAAAATCCTTTCAGCCAATACATTTGACTGCTTACCTAAACTTTTTTCATTTGCTTTTTGACTTAACCCAAGATCATATCCAATAATAAACGATAAGTTACGCACGGATTGATATACGGTAACAAAATTCAGAACTGTGCATGTTTAAAACCTAACTCAGCCACCAGTAAATGATCAGGACGATAAAGCAGAAACAAGTTGGATGCGATTGGTATCTCTTTCGACCACTATTGTACAAAACAGAAACTAATGTGTATATGTAGGATTTCTTTAGGTAATTTAGTGAATTAGCCATTGAAAGGCCAAGTTCTGTAAGCCGAATTCGTAATTTAACAGGAATTTGAATTCTCCAAAATAAAGTCGGTGAAAATAGTAGGTTTTTCAGCTCTTTTTGGATTGAATCTTCGAAATGATAGTCACACCTCCCATCACCTCTTTCAATTCAGTTGTTTATTATCGTGGGTATCATTCTTTTAAATAAATTGACTTTCGTATTGTTGATCCACCTTCACTCATTCTATTGTTCAGTCTCACATAGTTTTCATCTACTTTGGTGCTAACCCATGGAATATGGTTGGAATATCCACTGTTAATATTTCTACTCAACGTTTCAATAGACCTACTCTTGGTTAGCGACTTTGTTTACTTTTCAGAAATTATTCTCACACAGAGATCTTTTCATCAACATAAAATATATAAGCGATATATTTCTCTTAGTCCACTGGAAAATCCTATGTAGACATTTAAAATAAAAGACTGAATGAACGAAAAAGCATTTCTTTCTAACTAGATTTTCATCATTTATTCTACACTAATGCGTAGGTTTTACAATTGATAGCAAAATACCATTCTATGATTTTGGGTTAGTTAATTAAATAATTATTAATCTAAAATTACTCATGAAGCTAAAAGCTAGAGGAAAGGAGACTTAAAGTGATGAACATGGTAATACAATGAGATTAATATTATTATTATTATTGTTTCTCCCTTGGGTTCCTAATAGAACATAGGGCTTCAGTAGCACGTCTCCAGTGCATTCTGTTCACTGAAATCTTTTGACCTGGCTCCACAACTACCCAGGGGCTCTCATTTTTTCCCCACACGATCTCCTTCATGTCATCCTCGACTCAGACGCCCAACTCTTCTCTTTCCATCTGCGTTCCACTCGATATCCTGGCCTGACGCGTGATGTCCCCAGTCGGCCTTCTAAGTGTATGCCCAATCCATCTCCACTTCCTTCTGCATATCTGTTGAGCGATAGGTTGTTGGTTGGTTCGTTGACAGGCCAGAGTTCCTTGTTGCTCATTCTTTCTGGCCATCTGATCTGATCTGATCCGATCTTCAGTATCAAGTGAGCTAAGGTGGCAGCTGTTGATAAATGTCCGCAGTTTATTGGAAGTCCCTTTCGTAACGTGCCAAGTCTTTGAACCATGTAGCAGCACTGACTTGACATTGGTGTTGAAAATCCGAATCTTTTTGCTTATGCTGAGTGCAGAAGATCTCCATACTGGTTTTAGGTTAATGAAATCCTATCTTGCTTTTCTGATCCTGTTTTTGACATCCTCGTCTGTGCCGCCTCTAGTTGAAACAGTGCTACCTAGATAGGTCAAAGAGGCTACTTCCTTTAAAATGAGATTAATAGAAGTGTAAAATGCACTGAAACATCGTTTTTCACTGATCGCATAACAGTTAACATGAAAAGTGAAGAGTTAGAGCAAATGATTGCACGTTAACATGAAAGAGCTGCATAATAATAAGAAGAGAAAAACAAGGAGATGAAATGCATGAACTGAACATGGGGAAACGTCCACTGTAAATAATTTTTGCTTATTAAATGAAAAATTGAAACAAATTGACTCTAGACGTTAATCTACCGTGATGGCCAAGGTAACAATGACTGACATTACACAAATTTCTTCTAAGATTCGGTTTTTAAAGGAGTATAGTTTCTTCCATGTGTAGTAGTCGAATATGTAAACTATACGAAAGACAGGATGGTATGCTGTAGGTAAATGTAAAAGCATTTCTTCTAGTCACTTTATTCTTAGTATTTACTAAATGTGCGACCACTGGAATTTTTACAATCGTTATCTTTCCTGTACTCAGCTGCGATGGATCGCGTTCAGATATTCTAAGATCAACTCGCCTAGTTGTACACCTCACGTAAGTAGCTCTCAGAAATAATTAAACTTAATAAATGTACATAGAAGAAGCAGAATCAGGAAGTTTACCTTTACATCCTACACTTAAAACTGTTTAATGTTAAATTATAAGACATAAATTCATAGAGTTCAGTATTCTTTGAAAGCTCTTCCAAAACGTTACGTTATAATCTTGCTAACGAAGTTACCTGTGAGTGAGTTTCAAAAAAATATAGTTCTTAGAAAGTCTTATCACTCTTAGTTTAGCTTTTGCCTCATTCTTGTGCTTGTTCTCAAATTTGAAAAGATATCCATTCCTACCAATCAGGATACCCACCATGTTAGGCTCCTCTCCTTTGGTTTCATCCCACCAAATGACTTTCGCATACTGAACCAGGCATTTCACCTGAGTTTATTTATGTCTGAGCGATACAGGGCCAAAGAGGTGATTATGCTGGTTAATTGATATTTTCTTTCTGTATGCAATTCATCTTATCCTTCCTTCTTACCTTATTAATATGATA